CACACACACACACACACACCATTTCATTAATTGGTCGCTTTTAATGACAAGCGGGCTAACCTAGATTTCGGGGCTTTTCAGAAATCTTGACCAACACCAAAAGTGGCCATTGCCTTACCTGTAGGAGAAGTTTGGTTTCATTGGTGTGTATATTTGTTTGGTTATAGAGAAAATGTTCCTTATCTTTTAAAGAAACTGAACAAGGGGCAAAACTTTACGTTCCATTTTCTCAAAACAGCAGTTTTCGGGATAGTCCCCTTGTGCCTAAAAGCGACCAATTAATACACTCACTCACACAGATTCACTCTCACACTACTACCACTACCATCCCTCTATCTGTACTCACACCTCTTTTCCCCACACCCGAAACCCACCTCCCCCACTATCTGACATTCCAGCATGTGGTATTCGGAATCTGCCGCGTCATTGACATCATGGTTCCTGACGTGCCGGAAACGCTGGAGCTGAAGATCAAGAGGGAACATTTCCTGGCCAAACAGGCGCTCGCAGACACGGACACTATCATGATGGTAAGAACTGGGTCATGGAATTGAATACATGTACCTGAACACTTCTTCTTCTTTGGTGGCGTCGGTGGCCAAGTGGTTAGGCGACTGGACTCGTGATCGTGAAGTTGCGAGTTCGGGGATTCGAGCCCCGGGCCCGACGTTGTGTCCTTGGGAAAGGCACTTAACACGAATTTTCCCCCTCTTCACCCAGGTGAAAATGGGTACCCAGCAATAGACAGTGAAAGATCTTGTCAGTTTCTTAGTGTTTGAGCGCTTAACCAGCTGCTTGCACTGTATTCTTCGCGGGAAGCTGAAAAGGTTTCTGAATGTTCTATGGTCTGCTGAGGTAATAATATAGTGTAAAGCGCCTAGAGCTTGCTTTCAAGTGGGGATATGCGCTATGCAAATGCTATTTATTGTTCTTTAGTTGTGTCAGATAACATTTTCAAATAACTTTCATTTTGTTTGTAAAGTTAAAGCAAAGCCATGTAAATCTCGGTAGATAAATCAGACATTGCCGAGCATTGTACCCCATTCTTTCCTGTTGTCTGTCTTCTTGATTAGCTCCGTTTTTCTCCTTGTATTATTCGTTGCAAAGTTGTTCAGGCCATCTGTGTATTTTGTTATTTGTCTCCGTCTGCTCGTCTTTCCCTCTATCTTTCCGTGCAGCAGCAGTTTATCTAGTCCATTTGGTATATTTATGTGGCCAAATGATCTCAATTGTGTTTTTCTGATGGTTCTGATTAGATTATGGATCTTCGACATTATGCCATTTGGAGCACCTCTTTATTTGTTTTCTTTTCAGTCCATGAGATTCTGAGTAGTATCTTTAAATGCCACATTTCAGCGGCTTCCATTCTTCTTTCTGTGTCTCTGTTTAGAGTCCAGCGCTCACATTCGTACAAAAAGTGACCATATCATGTACGCTAGCGTGAACAGTGCAAGGGAAAACATGGTTGTGTCCAAAACCATAGCTCTTTTCTTCAAAACCTCACTGTGTATCACAATGATAACAAGAATAAGAACTCTATGTTTAGCAAAATGTGATTTAGACACGTTATTTTTTATTTAATTAACACCACCATGATGGTAGAAAAGTATTTACTTAAATGGTTACCTTAAATTGTTTACCTATTGACACTACATTAATGGTAGAAATTGCTTACCTATTGACGCTCAAACTATCAAAATGTTGGTGTTGTTGTTTTTGTTTTAAATTATATTTTCACACTGAAACCAACTCGATGATAGGAAATTGTATTAACACTACAATAACGGTGTGAAATTATTTTCTTATTGACATTGCCATGAAGGTATGGGATTATTTACTTGACACCAAAAATATCATGATGCCTCACAAGTGTTTACTTAGTCGATACCTCAGATGTACAAAGCTCTAGCTATTCAGTACCTAGTTTTGAAAATTTTGACATAAAAGATTGTGAGTTTCACAATATGTTAAGACTTTTCGAATACTATTCTTTGAATATCTTTATAACAACTCCGAATAATCTTACGATTTTAATAGGGCAGATCAAACATTTGGTTTCTGACCCCATGGTCTTATCAACTCAAAATGGCCAAAAATATCAGATAGAACTTTTGTAATTCTGAGGTAGCGATGTCACACTGAAACTATTATGATGGAAGGAAGATCCATCATTGTGAACATAATTCCCATTTAATACAGAACGTAACTACTCTGTGTTAATACACTGTTGTTGTTTTTTAACTAAGGTTGTTTTCAATCCGTCTGCCTGGTCATTTCCCCAGATGGCAAGAAGGAACGACGAGGACGATGCAGACGCCAATCTGGCACCGGATGTGACGTCAAATGCATAGACCCGTGGAATCTTCATTGCTCCCGGAGATCCGCCATATTGTTTCTGAGTGCAATGTTTTGTTACCAATCTTTACCTACTGATAAACTCGAATGTGATGAATCTTTCTTACATGCACCGTGTGTAGAGAATTTCCAATGCCAGTTACAATCAGAACAATGCTCATCTTTTTTTTCCTCCGGTTTTCATGGGTGAAAGATTTTTCGTCTGTCCCTCGTCATGTGGTTCCTGCTGACTTATGTCAAATTGGAATTTAAAGGAATCTGACTAAATGCATCGGCAGGAATTGGCTGGTCATTTTTTTCTCAAAAAAGAATAAAGCGGTTTTAGGAGTTTCGAGAAAAGTAGCATGAGACAAAAAAAAAAGGAGTTTCGAGAACACTTCTAGAAGAGATATCCGGTTGCTTGGAGGGTGATGATATCCAGAACAGCCACGAAGTGCATCCGCATCACTCAATATTTTGGCGCTTTTGCCAAAAGCCACGCATGATTCCGAGGATAGCATAATTATTTAGGTAGATAAATTACACTCTCATTGATACAATAATTTAGATCAAGAACTGATGCATTAACAACAACAATAACACCGCAACACAGAGGGCACAAATACTGTCGTAGGTACATGATTCCTTTTCAAGTGACCGGAGGAGGAAAACAAAGCCTATAACCTATCTTTGAGCCTGCCTGGCGCTTCTTGTGTCGAGCTCAAGATGGATATGTTGCTCGAACCTGTAGCTGGAGTCAGGATAATAAGTCAACAGTAATTCTAGTCTTTGGTTCGTGTCATCAAAACCATTCACATCCTGTTTGCTGTGATGTCACTAGATCTAATATCGAGTAACTTTTAAAGAAAAGGAACGATCGATGACGTCTACACATTCTGTCGCGGGTTGTTTATCATCAGACCTTCACCAGAGAGACAAAGCATAGGTATTAAAGTTTCTGGATTTTATCTGGGGGCATTCTTTTGGTGTATTAGCAATTAATATTGTCAGGGAACGCACAAAAAAGATATTGTGTTAAAGCTGGGTTCAATCATCTTGTCTTAATTTGTATACCTATTGAGGTATTTATCAGTCCTTTACCCCGCCTCTTAAATTTGTATACGTCAATGCTTTGGATAAAGTTGAGTTTCTTTTCCGTTCGCTTCCTTATCATTAGATTCCCTCCCCTATCATTAGATTCCTTCCCCTATTATTTAATTCCTTCCTACGGCGTCTTTATAATAATGTGTCCCTCTTGTGTGTCCTCTGGTCATCTAAAGTCATTCCGGACGAAGACATTCCATGTGCACGTTTTGCCTCCACTCATCACTGCCAGTGTGGTCTATCTGTGCACTGAACATTCAGATCTGTCTTTGAGCGAAGAACATTCACCATCGTCTGTTTGTTTATCTTATTTATAACTTTTATATAAACTAGTTCTTGTCATGTACTACGTACTATGCTTACTGTCGGGAGTTCAAAACTGTAGGGACTTTTTTACGATTCTTATAACTTTCTTCTGTCTGGGGGGATTTAAGAGTTTATATTTAGTGTGGAGTTGTTGGGGGTTTTTTCTTCCCTCGTTGATCGACTGCTCACGGACCCTCTCCGGTTATGCCAGCAATCAGTTCAGGACTATAATGACCAGTAGCGAATTAAGTGAGATCTTCCTTAAACTGAGCTGAGCTGTTCGTTTCGGTAAAGTCCGCCTTCACTCGTAAAATTATTTATTTTTAATATAGGCCTACGTTCATGCCATTCAAAGACGACGATTGGAATTTTATTTTTAAAAAGTGAGATTTACGTCGATGAATACAGAACAAAATGATCACCATGACATTATCAGCAAAGAGTTCATAAATGTCAGTGCTGTTTGAATTTGAAACCCTAGTAGCACTGAACAAAATCTTGAGTGTCGAACATTGTGAAAAAGAAAGTTTAAAGCAATGTCTCATCAATGTATCGATTCTCAGTATTGGTTATATACACGATGAATATAGAGATATCGACATCAACAAACAAAGAGAAAAAAGACATTGGCCTGGGCATGGAGCCGATGTCACCAACATTCCGCATTCTAGGTTTATCATCCTAATGGCAGGCAGTTTACACGTTCTCTGTGTTGCTTTCCGAAGCTAAAGTTGACTCTCTCTTCAACCAACATACTACAGAAGCTCTAGTGAAAGGAACTAAATGATATAGCGTATGAGCTAATGATCTTGTGTTCTGTTTTATCTGTATTGTCTAAGACGTTGGACAATGTTGTGCCAAGTGTAAGGTTCTTTTCGGTTGATCTCATATATTTTTTGCTTTGTTTGGTTTGGTTTGGTTTTTTAATTATTGTTTTTGTATTTCATATCATCTCAGTGACGTTCTGTTTGATTTATGCGTTTTCTTTGTTCTTTTCTCATAGCAAAATACCCTGTAGAAGGCCACCAATTTTAACTGTCTTTTGCCAAAGTTTTCATATCGCATTTCAGGCTTTCTCTGGGCTGACTGGCCCTATAAGAAAGTTAAGCTGGTCCCGTGATACGCTTGTACATAACGACATAACAACTGTGGTAGCCAAACATGTTGGGAGCTGGAATGAGAACGACTGGAAACGAATGAGAAAATTAAGGTGGAAATAAGAGCTTCTTTGAATGAGAGAATTAATTATACGGTCACACACACACCAACACACACACACACACACACACACACACACACACACACACACATATATATCTACGAAACGAAAGGCCTTGAAAGAGTCACCACAGGCGTTCTTGGATTTGATTCTAAAATAATAAAGAAACAAAAACGATGTGGATGGAATAACAACAAACAATACATCTAGACCCTCACTCAAAGATCCGAAATGATTAAACACAGGGAATTGTTTCGAACTCGTTTGAACCATGAGCAGGCGAATGTGAGCACGCTACATGTATTATCAATTATCTATTTGTGGTGGCCGAATTTTGCTATTCAAAAGGCTTTTTAATGGCTTCATCGATCGATATGCGGTTTTCGCCAAAAAATTCTTTAAAATATTCTCCGGAGCATGACGCCCTTGGTTTTTTCAGTTTTGAGACATTTTTGCAGCAAAAAGTTATTTTTTTTTCGACGATCGCTTTTGTAGGCCGACGCTTCTGTCTCTGTAATTTTAGAAAATCCGCCAGGTTTGTTTATTCAAAGATAGTAAATAACAAGATGGGTCACTCAGCCAAAAAAGTGTCTGCAGGAAGTATGCTCTTTGCTTCAGATGGCGCTGCAGTCTGTTTTGAAGCTCTCTTTCGTTTTTCCAGAAGAAGAAT